AACTCCGGTATCAGTTGGTCGTGATAGCGGACACGACTGGGTATGGGATGCTTGACATAGGTGTTGGACTTATCTATTTGCACCCGTTCCTCTTTCACACTTTTATCCAAATCGGTGGCTATTATTTCAATCTCATCGACCAGTTCCCCAAAAGTAGGCCTAAAATTGGGGTTCTCTGACCAACAGCTCAATACTATGCCGTACAGTAATTTCGGGCAGTAATGGGGTCGAGGCATACGGCGCCCACTTTTCAGATAGTCCAACACATCGTAGTTATTGACGTCGGGGTAGGGTTTGACTCCTCGGGTCATCACTTCCCACACCAATACCCCGAAGGACCAGACATCCGACTTTTGGTCAAATGTGGCCAACTCTAGGGATTCCGGTGCCATCCATTTGACAGGTAATGTAGCCATGGCTTTGTCGCACTGGTAGTAGTTTTTGTCGTATACTTCGCGGGTAAGACCAAAGTCGGCCACTTTGACGGTGAGGCCGGTGTCCAGCATACAGTTTCGGGCGGCTAAGTCTCGGTGAACGAAATGCTTGTCTGATAGGTATTCCATACCTGTGCTCATCATATGAATTGTGAATTGAATAGAGGAATAAAATATTGTTTATAAATTATTTGATTAGGATGCAAATTATAAAAATTATAAGTTATAAGAAACTGTAATTATTAAATACATTAGAAATAAGCAAGCATATTAGATAAACTAATTTAAGACATATTGGGAATTGAATATTAATTTTGAATTTAGGTTTTCAAATATTGTAAAAACATATGAGCTCAATAACTTAAAAATTGTATTTCATCTAAATGTTATTTAGTAATAAACTCAATGAAAGCCTATTTATAATTACTTAATGACATACCTTTGGACACATCGGCCACAAACTGAATCAATTGACTCACAGTTAGTGAATTGGTATCACACCTGAGATAACCTAAGAGATCCTTGTTCTTCATGTAAGGCATGAGTATCATTGGTGAGCCATCCTTGGCCTGAAATGAAACGCCAATCAATTGCAAGACATTCTGGTGCTGGAAGTCCTTCATAACTATCGCCTCTTTGATGAATGTCTCGATTTCGGCGTTTGTCTGACTTTTGCCTTAAAAATTGAAACTTCTTTCAAATAACCACAAAATCAAAGTAAACAATACTTAGTTTTTTGACGGCCACATCCCGGTGCCTGACTGTATCGAGTTGAATGAGAGCACCGGCATATACACAGCCATAGTTTCCGACGCCTACCACCTCTTTTAAGGTGATATCCTTCTCGTCAAATAGTAGTCTCTCATCCCTAAGCACTTCCAATAGGCTATCCGACGGTTTATATCGTGTGAAACTAACTACAGATTGTAAAACAATTAAAATTAGCTAGATTAGAGTTAATTATTAAATTTATAATTACCACGATTATTATTTCTTAGTCGACGTCTCATATAGGTAATTGTAATCACAAATAATATGGCAATGGGTGCCATGATAAGTAGTACGAAACTGATAAAGATAATTATATATATTACATTGCTATGAGTTGATTCATTACTGTTGACCATGGTAAATTTCCATTTAAAATAATCCAACTCCATAATATCAGGACGTGCGCACCCAATCCAATACCCACGGTCACCCTTAACATAAGCAACCTTCCATATATCTCCATTCCCTAATTATTTAAATTTTAATACAATAATGTTTAATTTAAATTCACGTCTCTCTCTCTCTCTCTCTCTCTCTCTCTCTACTCACAGCATGGGTGTTCATATAAATAATAATAACCAGGCTCGTCTGTTTTGGATAATTTGACCACATGATTACCAGATGAATAAGTCATCAAATACCAATTATTAGTTAATTCGTAAAATTTATGCAAAAATCTCGGATCATCCTGGATATAAGTGTCAAGCATGATGGCTCCCGATATAGATATCAAATACGTGTCGTTTCCTTTATTCTGTATCACATATGGAGTGTTGGTTAGTAAATCCAATGCCTTTCCTGTTTTGTCTATTATGCTGGATGCTTTGGCTGGCATTCAAAAATAATTTATTAGTTATGTTTAAAAATAAACTAATCAAATATGAATATTTTTATTATTTTAAACTATTATACATTGTATCATATTTAAGCGTATTGTTAAATAGTGCAATTAAGTATATAAGTAAAAGTAATATTAACTTACAATAGTTAATTGTAACAAATGTGAAGTTAAATCCCTTTTCCTCGATCTTATCATTTGATGTGAATTTGATAAACAATTGGTTTGCATTGGAGATGACATGTAAGGGATGGGTCTCAGAGGAACCGCTAATATCAGCAATCAATTTACTATCATCTGTGGGTCCATCGTATACACGGAGTATATACTTATCTTTTTCGGTATTAAATTTAGTAAGTAGAAGGACAATGTTTTCATCTACCGGTGCCTTTATAGTCCAGTTGCAGTTACAATTTTCTGGGCAATCAGAATTATTCAAATATCCAGGGCTCGTTATTATACCAGATTTTGAAGTAAATGTATTGCCACACGTACTATTACTATCTACTGTATAAATTAAATTTTAAATTTTATTAATACTCAACATGTTTATCATTTTGTATAACGTTAATAAATTAGGCAAAATATTTGTAAACTTAACTTGATAAGTATAATTAAAACTACTTACTATTCTGTTGAGAAACTGCATATTTTAATGTAATTCCGATTATTATAAAAATAAAATATAAAAGTCTTGTTATAATCATTTTTATTTTTATCAAAACATTTAGTTTACTTTACAGTCAAACTAATTTTCAATGATAGCATATCTGAATAAAATGTCCTTTTTTGTTTTGTGATATTACGTTAACTGTCCATAAATAGCTTGTTATGTTTTTAAACATATCTAAAAATATCTCAACTGATGAATAACATGTATTTTGAAAATATCCGGTAAATTAAATCACAACATTATCTGTTTGATTTGAAAACATTTAAGTAGTAGTCAAATAGTTTATTAAAAACCGGAAATAGTCTATATTACACACACAAAAATAAAAGCATAACATTACATACATATAATAAAAATATTTGTGGATAAGATTTTGCACTTTTAATATTTGATTAATAATAATCATATCATAATATGTAAATATAATGATCATTGAGTTAGTTGATAAGTTATCGTGGCAATATCACTGATAATAATAATATTTGCTATACTATATTTATCATAATTACGTCAACTTTCTACTCGTGGGAGACCTTATGATTTAATTTTTATATAAATATTTACACATTCATTAAATTTTTATTTACTACTAAAACTTCACCATTGTACATTGTCAATCACTAACAAATGTCATTGTAAATAATTTGAAAATAATAAAAACTTTTTAACATAACTATTATATTACATTATAAAAAATTGTAAAGAATATTCAAATTAAGAATTCCGATTATATAGTATTTTTAAAATCTCATAATATTATTGAAAGTTTGCAAACTACAACTTCTAATTTACTTAAAATAGTTATTTTAATTATTATGCATTTCAATAAATAAATGAATAAATAAATAAATAAAAGATTATTAAAATTTATGATACATTATATCATATCTGCCCACATTATCAGTGATGACAACATTTACACTAGTAATATAATACTAATGATAAAAATCATTATCATCATTGCATTTTAAAATAATAAAATGAAAATGATTTTAATACTGTATACAGTTGAATGTGGTTTAAATTTCACTTTTATATTGTGTTACAAACTAATTGAACAAAATTGTCAACAAATTAAAAACATTATTTTTACAAATGTGCGAAAACTTATAAAATCAATTAGATTTATAAAATGTTTGGTCTAGTGTAAATATTAAAAAGCAATAATTTATTTCAAAGCTTAAACATTAAGAAATGGTTGAATTCAAGATCATTGTCATGGGTTCGGCCGGTGTTGGTAAAAGTGCCCTGATTGTGCAGCTTGTTCATGGTATGTAAGCAACAACATTTTT